CTTCCCTGCACGATTGTACTCCATTCTGAGCAATAGCTAAGAGAGGGGGTGGGGACTAAATATAAAAAAGAGAACACAAGCTGTTTGTTATGACACCTTAAAAACTGGCTCAAGTATTCCTTATTCCATTGTATTTTTAGTTTATTGTTTACAAATCCATATACCAACACCTGCTAAGACATCCAGAATCTTAAGGTAAGGGAAGATACCAAACCCCACACTCAGCTGTGTGCTTTATCCTTTCACACCTCCGTTATCAACAGGGAGGAGGCCTAGCTCTTTATTCCTCATTGGATGTTTCATAGCTAAGAAAAATGTTGACATTCTTTTAGAATTAAAAACATTAAATTATTATAAGCAAAATAGACCTTTAACTACAATTCTGCTTTCAGTAACTTACACTGTCCCGTAATCTCTATGTATATTTTTAAGATATGCCATGTATTAGAAAAACGTGGTTCACAGTTAAGAAGGCAGAGGAAGAGATTTCAGGTATTCCTGAGAAACTATGACACAGCTATTTTCAATTCCTAAGCAACAATATACCTTACATTAAAACCAGTACAATCTTCCCCCTCTGTCAGTTGAATTACTGAAAACCAGGAGAGGGTTACTAGCAGTTTCAAAATTGCCTAATTATCCAGTGCAATCCAATCTATGTCTTCAGAACAGTCTCTATGGTTGCAATAGTTCCCTTCTTCATTGGGGGATGAAATTGGTTCACGTGCTCTGAATAACCTAATCGCTGCTGCCAATACAGTAACAAATGAAGGGAAAAACCTGCCTTATGAGCTACACAAATATTTACAGGCCACACTACTGTAGCTAGAAACCTTTTAGAGTTATTTCATAAAATCAGGCAGAACATAAAGAAAAACCAAATATCTATACCTAAGATAAAATGTCTCACAACAATAATTAGGTTAGTACGATACCTTCACTCAACCCTATGATGAAATTTCCAAGAAAGATGGCTTGGGAGGAATGAATTCTAAAGACCTAATGCTAAAATACTGAGCAGATAAACAAAGAGCATAAGAGACATTCACAACACAGTGTAATCATCACCAAAAAGGCAGCAAAACCAGCCAGAAATATCAGACAATTAAAACATTAGTCTACTCTCATACTAATGCCGTAAGTAGTCATACATTAAAAACGTATTCATTCTCTTTTGTGAAATCGAAGGTTTCCTAGGCTGCATTCCTCTATTTAATGAAGCCAATAGCAAAACAACCCTAAAATTTGTCAGCACTAGCTACCCAAATCCAAGATGAATTTTAACATTAAATACACATTTGTTCAGATGTAAAGATGCTGAAGTGTACTAGCACAGTTTATCCCGACGATATTAGAAACCAAGTAAATCTTGACTCAAAACAATTATTTCACAATTTAAAAACATCCATCTAAGATGATCCCACTAAACACAATTCAACAAAAAGGCCTTAGAAAAATGATGCTTCTAAATCATTAATATCTACATCAGCAATATGATAGTAAACAGGCCCTGAACACATACCATCAGGGTTTTTTGGATACATTTCTTTCATTAATCTCCCTTAGCAGCAGCAGCAGCATCACTCACTCTTCTGTTCTTTTCCTCCTAAAATACATTCCCCAAGAGTCCTTTCAATGCAATTTTATCAGCATTTCCGAGAGGTCTCTCAGCCACATCCCTACGCACAAGAGGCAGCAGAAAAAATGCATTTGTAACAATCTATGGCTGCAAAGGAGGGTGGCAGGCAAAGCAACTGTCTCATAACCAAAACGCTGAGTTCTATTATCTAGTGCACCACACGTACGCACATACTGCATCAACAGCCTCAACCCCTAACAGCAATCGCAGCGATGATACATCAAATCCACAGAAAAAACATGCATTACTCACTGGGTTTTATTCTTTAGCTTCTTCAGCATGTAATTCTTTATGCTTTACAACGTAGCAGGCATGAAACGAAACATTTTCCCTTTATTCCACTGATGCCGCTGTTTGAATACCATTAGACACCAAGGACAATAGGCAGGATCAGCTCGAACATTAAGAGCAAATATTTAATGGAAGACTGGTCACCCCCGTCTCTCCCTTTCACATCTCTGCCTCATGCATCCAGGCACGGGTGGTACTGGCTCCCTTGAGAGGCTGTAGCTCGCAGCTGAGGCACAAACTAAAACATGGCATGGATGTCAAGGAGCTGATGTCACAAAAACAAGTATTTCTCTGATAAAAGCAGCAATTCCATTAGGGAAGTCCTAACAAATCGATAGGAACTGTTCAGCTGAACACAGTTATACAATGCACTGCCGCACCAAGGGCGATACATCAGATCAAGATCTGTCAGTGCAAATAAGCAGAGACCGTAATAATTAAGCTATAAAGCTGCCAATCAGACACCACGCTTTGTACCGGGGTGGCAGGAGGGCTGTCCCTTATAAGCATATACACCTAAACATCTCAGAAACAAGCCTGTTTAATATAAACCCCAAAAGAATATTAATTCCAAAGCTAATCTACTAAAAAATAACAAGTATTTTTAAATACAAAAGACTGGCCTAAAAGTCTGCCATCTTTATCAGGAGAGACTGTGATAAAGTGTCCAAGGCTCCAGTCCAGCAGATGCTAGAAACACCCGAGAGAGGTCACGGGAAGAGATGGAAGATGTTTTGGAAATCCTGCCACCTCACCCATGTAGCAGCACTGCCACTGCAGGCTGTGGGACAGGGTAACTCCCGCTGAAGGTAAAAGGTATGTTTCTACACCGGCAGCCATACACTTATAGTGGGAGCTGGGTCTGGTGTAAAAAAACCCAAAAGTGCAAAATCTCAGGAGCAAAAGGAATACAGAGACAACACAAGTTCAGCTGCTGGAGACTGTACAAACTCTACCTTGCAGACAGCATCACACCAACAGAAGGAGGTAGGTGCTATCAAGCACGAAAAGAACTTTCTCAAGGCAAGCAAATAGAATTGAAACATCATCCACACTGTTTATTCCATTAATTAATTATATGCATTTATTTCAAGCTTTGCTGGCTGGCACAACCTCAAAACTGCATCAATTTCACAAAGGTCCAGGACAGACAGCAGCAATACTATTGGATTCAGTAGGTATTTCTGCACCCTTCTTCCAAAGTGTTCCTGTTCTGAAGGAACCAGAAAGAAAAACCGACAACTGCACAGAAATTCACTGTAGAATATTTGCAATACAGAAGATCACACACTCTTAGAAATAGTCGCTCCGTGGCCTAAGATGAACAAATCTGAGCAATATATTGCAAATGAAGTTATTTGGCAATCAAATGGTTTTGTTCAATAATTCCATTTCAGATTGTTTGCAGTTCTGGAACAAACCAGAAGTCCACACTCAGACTGCTAATTTCAGAAGTCTATTGTGGACAGAGCAACTAGTTAACTGTTTGTCTGGAAATAACTTGAGGCAAACCCATAAGCTCTTTTACAGTGTAAACATGATGCTTCAGAAAGGAGTACACACGTAATATTCTAATTTTTTAAAATATTTCTTACGAACAAAACTATTGTGATAAAGCCACATAAAAATTGTTCAGAAAATTCTCAGTGTATTTCAAAGGACAATATTTTAGTCCTGTCAAAACAGTCCTTGAAATAAACTACACCACCAATATCAATAACATTTCCATGGAGGCTAAGCGCAATGCAGATGTTTGTTGTATGCCTTTAACTAACAAGCAATTCATGCTAAATTAGCACCAATTTAATAGGTCTGTTGTAAAACCATCTGAGAGCAGCTACAGCCAGGCCCCATGGATGCAAAGAGGCAACATGCACTGAATGCAGTGCATTGCAGGAACCTGACCACAGGTCACTTACCAAGCACATCCCACTAAATAGGTTTTTTAAACATCCAAGTATGATTCAACGTGACCTGTAAAACCAGGTAGGTAGAAATACCCTGCAGACAGAATAACCAGGTCATCTGAGCCACACTCAGCTCTGTGCTTCCATGGTTCATCTCACGGGTAGAGAAAACTAAAACATCTAACCAATTAACACAGAAACTTTTGTACTAAAATATCTACACTTTTAATGAGATCATTAAGTTGCAGTGAACTTTATTACACCACATTTTTTGCACAGATACCTCTTTCAGCACCAGCCTTTTCTCTCCTCCAGTTAGCTTACCTTTCTTGACAGTATTTCACATTAACTTGTGAAAACACCAAGCAAACAAGTAAACTAGTCTGGGTTGGTACAACACGAGTATTTCCTCCTTCCCTCTTTAAACAGCACATGAGCTCACTCCCTACTGTTTTCATCCAGTAAGTTAGAAAAAAAATTAGGTTTCAGCATGTTGTGAAATAGCCCTGAACACTGTAGCGATGCCAGACTTGGTTATTCCATTCTTAGTTGGAGAATTGAGGCAGGAGGCACCCCAAAGTCAGAAATTTAAATAAAATCAACCATTCTGTCTTCATTGACAAACAGCTGTTTCACAAGACACAGTGTGAAGACTTATGATGGAGTATTTATGCCAAAGGTAAATGTGAGTGTTAAATGTGCCCTGGTAGAACATCACAAGCATTCTAAGGCTAATTAATCCCCAAATTCATCACCTTCTCTTTTACTGTAATTCACACAGAAGTCAAAGACACACAAGACATTGAACTACTTACTCAAATATCCTGAAACATCACTACCAAAATAAGATTTGGGAAAAGTAACAAGATAAAGGGAAAACCAAAGCTTTTACTGTTACTAACAATATTTTCTGTAGATACAGAGGTTCAATTTTTGCTTGCCGATGCAAACCTGACACCTTTCCAGAGAGGAGATTCAGTTTAGGACAGTGTTGATTTATACAGTTTCTCTGTTGATAAAATATCAATATTCTACATTCTATTGAGAAACCACAAAACAGATACGTATGTGTGTAACACTAGCTTATAAAAATCTTTCAATATACTTCTTTCCATGTGACTGAAAAAAATTAAGCTGAAACTTGATAACATTTTAGTACTTACTGTCTTCTCCTGGGCAAGGCATGCCGGGTTTCTCCGGAATACTTGGGAAAACTAAAACAAAAACATTAGATTTTTAAGTGAAAGGATTCTCAGTACAGCTTTTTCCTTGATTCTTGAATATATTTACACAAAGACAGTTTCTGGAAGCCTTTAAATAATTCTGCATGAGAAATGACAGAACCAAAATTTGGTTCCCTACTGGCAAGACCTTATACTTGCCTACAGCATTAACAAACCCGTGCAGTTTAGAACCTGAAGCCCTCTCAAAGCCTACTGTATAGCTTCAGCTTTGGGCTCCACACCCAGGAGAGCGCTTCCTTCTCAACATCAAACTACAGGGCACCAGCTCCATGTTATTTGACAGGCAAAGGAGTTGTTCCAAACTCACGTTTAAGAAGCTGTTAGTACTATCTACAAATGCATACAGGTTCTGGAGCTGGGTGATACTTGCCATGAATTATCAGCCCTTCGCCTCTGTTCTGACAATACAAACGGAAGGCTTCTTCCAGTTCCATCTGAGAAGAGATGGTACATGGGTCACCTACAAAAGAAAAAAGCAATACAGAGGCAAATTGATGACTGAAGAATTAAGTGGAGAATTTCAGTTAGTCAGTAAGAAACGTAAGCTGGCATTTTGATCAAAGACTAAATATATCAACACATCCTTTTTCCTTCTAATTTGATCAAAACTGAGTAGATAGAACTGTATGATGTTGGTTTACAAGGGGACAACAAAATACAGAAGTGAACAGCTATGCTTAAAGATCTTAACACATGGCAGAAAAAACAGTTAAAGGAATCAAGTCTTAAAATCCTCCAGCTGAAAACTCCTGAGGTTTTCTTCTTTCCTACAATTTTCTTCCTTTGATTAGCAGTCATGCAGCTCAAATAGCTAACTAAGTATGTGCAACACAATTATTCTCCATACACTGCTGATCAAGTGGTTTTTTATTAGACTGCCATGAAATTGAGGGTTAGGAAACTGAAGTTAGTACAGCTGCCTCTGACTTTCTTGGTAATCAGAAGATAAAGAGTACAATTTAAAAATAACTGATACTCTCCTTGGTATCTTAAAAGGACTGAATCTTCTTTGACTGCAGGCTACCTCCTTCCTCAATCATTACTTTGACATCGCATTCACCCACCAAACGACACCACTCAGCTAAGAGAGCAGTACAGGCTACTACAAAGAAACAAGCCACATAATTACAAATGTTAGCTAAACTGATGAATATTTTTTCATCTTCCTGCATTTTGTTCTAGTTCTGCTGCAGACCACGGCTTTGGCAAGGTCCAACAGGAAAATAACCAAGTACCTGTGCAGTCGTATAAGCACACGGTAATGTTCTCAACCTACAAGGTCAAGAGTTCTGCTCATCATGAGTTACAGATGCACTACATTCCTGTTACATCAGAAGCAGACACGTAAGCAAAAAAAGTACCAAAGACACTCAGTGTCAAGCATCCCCATTTCACCGCTGCTCACAACAACCAGAAGGTTCTAACTTAGGGCTGCGGAGAACTGCTACAGGAGAAAGAAATACACAAACCCATCTCACATCACGCTGGTATTTCACAGCCTACAGAAAGGGTAAAGAAAAGTTTCTTCTACAGAAGTGAATGCAAACACTATTGCAATCAACTTGGATTTTTTGAGGTTCAAGCTCCCTGCTTCATAAGACAGGGTCATGCACCCTGGTATTTAGAAATGAGGAGTAACTCCACAATATGTAACTTGCTTATACAAGTTTCCTCAACGCCTCTTCTCTGTACCACAAAGAACGAT